GCCCCCGCCGCGCCCCGGCTCCGGAACCTCCCACTCGGGCCTTGCGCAGGGCTCGGGGGACCAGGCCCGGGAGGACAGCGCGGGAAGGCCGGGGACCGGGCGGAAAGCACACCGTAGGCCCCGGAGAGGGAGGGGGCGGGGACATGATGTGGCGGGAACGGCAGGCCCCGCCCCTGCCTTACACATCCCGCACCTCGCGCGGCGCGCGCCCTGGAGCCCTTAACCGCCCGCTGGGACAGGGTGCTCATGGGAGTGTGTCACGACTCCTTCTTAGTCTTCTCCCGGTTGAGAGCAAGGTTAAGGAAACTGTCATGATTGGTAACGTTTACTAATTTGCTAATCACTAGATTACTCCCTCCGAGGAGTCAGGCACTGTGTGCCACGCGATCGGCTTCGCCATTCTAACCTTACTTAGTTTTTAAGGCATCTTATGTGGAAATCATCATGCCACCCGTCTTACAGAACGGAAAGCTAAGATGCAAATAGGTTTAAGTTCAAGGTAGAGGCCCCGGAGCCTAAACTTGCCTCAATGGCCCTCTGAACCTTCCAAGACCACACACGGTGCCCTGAGAGTCTCCTCTGGGCTTGGCTCCTGTGCCTGACACCTCCCTGCCCCGTTGGGTCGACTTCCTGAATTTCTTACTCCTGGCTTCTCTGCCCTCCCCTTTATTTCTTATCACCCGGTCACCTCTGTCTTAATCTTAAATCTAACTCCTACTCCCACTTACACCTTCCCTAGGTTAATTAGCAGCTTTTCTAGTGCATGTAAGTACTGAGGTTTAAACTCAGGGCCTTATGCTTTCCTTTAGCTTTTTTGCTCATAGCTAGAGCTCTACTACTTAAGCCACACCTCTATATCCTTTTCTTGGGGGCGGGGGGAGAGGGTCGGTTGTGGGACTTGAACTCCTATTTATTTATTTATTTATTTATTTTTGCTAGTTAATTGGAGATAAGAGTTTCACGGACTTTCCTGCCCGGCTGGTTTCAAACCACGATCCTCAGATCTCAGTCTCCTGAATAGCTAGGATTACAGATTTGAGCCTCCAGTGCCTGGCTTAGGTGAATTATTTCTTAAAATTTAGAAAGTGCCGGGCTCCAGTGGCTCATGCCTGTAATCCTAGTTACTCAGGAGGCTGAGATCTGAGGATCATGACTCAAAGCCAGCCCCTGCAGGAAAGTCCTTGAGAATCTTATCCCCAACTAACGACCAGAATTGGTGCTTTGACTCAAGTGGCAGAGCGCAAACCTTGAACTAAAGAGCTGAGGGACAAGAAGTAGCGCTGTAGCTCAAGTGGTAGAGCGTTTGCCTTGAGCTGAAGAGCTGAGGGACAACGCCCAGGACCAGAGTTCAAGCCCCACGACCATCAAAAAAAACAAAACAAAAAAACTGAGGGACAGCACCAAGGCACAGAGTTCAAGCCCCTCGACTGGCCAAACAAAAAATATTTTTAAGTTTCACTGGGTGTGGTGGCATGTATCTGTAATCTCAGCTTCTCTGGAGACTGAGGAAGGAGACTCAGGAATTCAAAGTTACCCTGGGCAGCAAGTTTAATGCTAAGAAAATTACACCAAGGTTATCAGATTTCATGCATCAGAAAAAAATTGGGTAGTCTAAGGTGGGGCAAGATGTGCTTGGATTTGGAATTTCACTTCTTAGAATCAACCAGAGAAGACTACTAGCACACATGGAGGAATGGTGAGGCGTGGTGCAGAAATTTCATATCCTTGGTAAGCTCATCAGCCACCACCTTTCATGTTTAATGCTAGAGTGCCAAAGGCTTTTAAAAATCATTTATGCTTCTTCAGTTCTGTAGTTGCAGCATCATTAAATAGCTGGCATAATGTCCCTAACAAACAGCCCTTAGAACAAAATAGCAAGCATGCTTTGGTGATTCAGAGCTGATCAGAAATCTACTGAAATTTCATCACCCAGACTTGTCAGATTCTCAAACATGGGACTACAAAGCTTTGGCTAAAAGGCTCTGAAGTAACTGTGGACATAAAATGTAAAGGGTTCAGAGGCCTGTCTTCCAGTAGAAGGATGGAGGAAATAGTGGTAGGAAGCCCTATATTGAACCAGGCCAACATATGCAATTACCTGTTTGCATTCTGTCTCTAAAAAAAATGTTCTGTGACCTTGGACTTCAAGTTTCCTCATCTGTCAAAAGGAGGAAATAACATATTTCTAGCTCCTCCAATCTCATAGTGTTGATGTAATGAGCATATGAGATAATGGCTGAGAGAGTGCATTGGAAAGACTGTAAAGTGAGATGTCTTAAATTGACACTTATTAAGCATTTATTAAGTGCCTTGGGAGAGACACATAAATAAATATGACCTAGTCCCTGTCCTGTGCATATGAAAAGCCAATGATACAAGACAGCAAATAATTGTCAAAAGAGCAATTTAAATTATAAACACTGGAGGAACTTGAAGAGGATACAAAAATTTTTCTGCAGAAATAGAGAGGAAAGACTGTGAAATGAATCTGATTTTTCACTAGGCCTGGAAGGAAAGAGAAAGTATGGATCATTTAGAATGGAAGAAGCATCCTAGCAAAGGAGGCAGAGATGGGAGAATCAGCTGCATTCTATGTCTAAGGAAATAGGACCTATCTGAAGGAAGAGATTTTATATCACATTTCTATGTTCGGCCACAAAACTGAGCTTATAGACTATCCTTTCAGTTAAAAATGCATCCAAGTACTGAGAAAAGAATCTTAAAATCAGATACCATCTGGCATTCTTGAGCAAGCAAAAAAAAAGTCACAAAAGAGGTCCAAGAATTTTCTCCCTCCCCCAGCCATTTCCTTTTT